AATAACGGTTGTGAATACAACAATTGTGGCATTGGTAAACCACTGTTTCAATCCAACCAAACCCAATATTTACTAAAGCCCAAGACTCGTTGTCTGCTGTGTCCGATAACTAACCTAATACCTCGTATAGACGTAACTTACTATATATAAGGTTGCTGAAAAGTCCTTGACAGCCTAAAATCACCTTTGCTTTTATTGAGGCCCATCAAGTAGGTGCAGTATGTCGGTAACTTCGTGCAAGTTGAGTTCAAGTAGAACGAAAGGTTGGGGCAACTCAAGGACTATGCTTATGTGATGAGCGCCAAGAAAGGTAAAACCGGTTATGGATTGTTGCGGAGTTTTTAGCAACCCTATGGGCATTATTTTTCGTATATAAGGTGTACTGCAATGCTGGCGTATCAACCATCAGAAACGTGAGACATCCCGATGCAGCACGTTTAATTGAAGAACATCATAAACAAGAGGACGAGCTAGGTCTCTCGTGAAAAATCAACTTAGTAGGCAAACGGGTGTATTTCGGTAAACAACTGCTGCTTTTTGTCTCTCTGACCCCAATCTTTTAATGATTCTTGTAATGGTGGTAGGTAAAATTTGGTCAATAGCTGAACAAACCTAATTGTAAATTACGAGAGCAGTTGTTCTAAATGATGTGGATCGGAAGTGTAAAGTGTGACATCAATAAATTAGGACGAAATCGGGAAAAAGGACTAAACCATATATATGCCGGAACAATATTTGAGTTCAGGTTGGGTCTTGTTCATAACCCGTGCATGCCATTTAGCAGTTCCTCATCACTGTTCTCCAATAGAAAACAACAGGATGATCCTGAGCTGATACATTGGTTAATAACTACACCTGCTTGCCCCCTTCTGAATTAGACATGAAGAATAGGTCGCACCTTGATGAAAGATTGTTTGGCATGCACAACACATGGCAAAATCAACGCAACCTCTGCTACCCAACGTACACTATACTTTAAATCCCCGGTGAACAAACAAGAGCCAGTTTCTAATTCTCTTGCTCCGAATTCCCTGACACCAACCTACATAAGCTGTGGCTGTGGGACGACGGTTGCTAGTGAACTGAAGATGACTCGGAATTTTCATTATCATTCAGCATTTGTCTCATAATCTCGTCCGTCACAAAACTGAAGGCAAATTGAGGGTAGAAATCCATATCGGTACCCAGTTTGTGTGCATGTGTACACTTACATGCCCTAAAGTTAAAAAAACACAAAGAACTTATTAGGTTCACAGACTTCCGATTCATTATTGGCATGTAAATTGTTGTAATAAAGGCAGGCCGGTCAAATAGGTGAAATGACTTTTGCATCTTCAAGTGAATCAGCTCAGATAAGTTTGGCCTGAATATTGTAAAATTTTGGCTTGTATCTGAAAGACGTTTCCACAGCTTTGTGTTCCAAACTTAGGCAGAGGAGCTCCAAGTTAAACTCAAGTTTTATTTCGTTTGGCCAGTATGGTGAAAATCAAGTTTGCCTACTTAGATTGTCATCAAATTTATTTCCTCCCATATACTTTTAGAGTATACTGCCCCATACAGAGAGCTTTTGTTCTAGAAAGCAACAGTAACTGTCAGGAATGACGGGTTTTACACCATTGATTACTGAGGCAAAATAAACGTGTTAGGGGGCTTAGCTTCTTGGAAGCTTTTGGGAAATAAGCCAAAGACTGGCTTCTTTGCCCAAAAAACGATAGTAAGCTGTAATTAAGGCAGTTTTGGCGCATATGAAACTACTGAATTAAAAACCCATTTTAGGCTTTGTTATAAATGTGATAGTTTTAAATACCGCCAAGTAGCACTTCTAAAACTTTAGAAGCCGACCGTTTCGCATAAGATTTAAGATACCAGAAGAGTCAATATCCACGGACGATTTTCTGTTGGTTTAAAGTTGCTACATAATCCACGTAAAGGACTGATGTGGATGCTCTGTCTTCTTACAATTAGAATCAGTAACCAAAACTAAAGGGGAAGAAGTTCAGTAAAAATGATCAAACGGCATCAACTAAATAGTAGATTTAATAATTCATCTTCGCACACATATTTGAAAGTTTATTCAGACAGAAATGTCTTGAAAACTTAAATGGAGTCCCGTATGTCACCTGTAAATCCTGTCGCTAATCCAAGTTTAGAATCAACAGACACTGTCCTACCCACTCAGTTTGTAAGCTGTGGTAACTGCGTTTGTCTACTGGTTGCATTTCCTGATAAAGACTTTTCACTATGTAAGCAACATCTTCTTGTGCTGATTACAAGTGCCGTTACTCCGTTGGGTACAAAAGAACCTGTCCTCGCAAATTTTAAAACCTGCCATACTTCAAAGGGAAATGCACATGTACCTCATATCCGCACTCTTGCAATAAAGAAAGAACATGGAGATGCTGATGCATCTAAGTTTGGCAAGAACTTACGGGCCGAAACTTAGCTAGCACAGTTTGATCTAATTACAACAGATATTTTTGTCACAACAAACGCAACGAAAGCTTAATCAGTAAGGCATAAAATTAATAACCGAAAATGTTATAGTTCAAACACAGCCTTTGGCTCCAGACTGCTGCTTTCTAGGCTTGAAAAGCTCTAAACTATGTCACAGCTTCAGTTTTGCGGACAGCAACTGTAATATTACGGTTGGTCAACAACAATGACCAGTAATTTTTGCGCATTTGTTGATTGTTCAGTAACTAATAACTGAAAAATGTCCATATGGGTGCTAATCTGGATAAAACAATGGGTAGTAGATGAGATATTTTGGGAAAAATTACAAGGCAACACCCACCGAGTATATGAGAGACCGGAGGTCACAAATAATGTTGTTTATGCTCTAAAACGTGTTGTTTATGAGCCTAAACTGTAATCTAACGTTTTATTAAATATTGAGCATCCATAAGCAGCCAACCACGGAAAGTGGTCTAGCCATACAAAGAGGTAGAATTGGTGCTCACTCCACCCAGCTTCTAAAGCATGAATAAAGATGGGGTCGACTTTGACCACAGAGGAGCAATTGTCAACCATATACTGCAGCAGTAAAATAAACAAATATTAGATTATAAAACGTAGAAGTCACTGCCAAAGTGCACATGACGCATAAATGTGACTAAACCGCATCCGGATACGGGGAAGTAACCGTCAACATTAACATCACATTGCGTTTTCTCACCACAAAAAATACAACCGGAAGGGAGCAAATTGCTGCACTGCAAAAGGATTCCGGGTGACGTGTCCTGACCAGTATTAGCGGCCAATCAAGATCAAAACTGAAAGCGTTCTCCGATGTAGTATTACCAGAGGAAACTCTAATCTCTCACATACTTATACTCCCAATAAAAGCTCTTTGCCTCCTGAGTGTGTGAGCAAAACTTGATTATTGTTGCATGTCATGGAGCTACCGATGATGCTTCATTCCAAATCTTGTTCTTACAGATCCCTCACGGTCAGTGGTAGTTCTGGCAGTGAGAGACCTCGAGGCCCAAATAGCTACGATGGATAAACCATTCGGCTAACAAGTGGATGGTATGACAATTCAAGCTGCACGTATCCTTTTTTCCGTAAGACAAACTAACAGGCAACGTGAAACAGCGTTGCGCTCTTAGAATAACGAAAATAGGTCTAAAATCGTAGTTTGATACAAGCTTTACAGCAACGAATCAAAAGTATGTCCGACATAAGAGTAAAAGACAACACCATACAGACCCACGAGAATGTCAGCAAACTTTCGTATGCATAGAAGACAAACAGCTAAGGAATGAACTAGACAAACGCTTCGAAGAACGACCTAACTACGACAAAACTAACTACTACAGAGTGGATGTAAATGATTAGCAAAATGGCCGGATGGTGCCGCAAGGAGACATTAGTACAGTTTTCAACTGCAGCGCTCACAAAACGTGCAATCAAATGAAGCCGCATAGGAAATTTAGGGGGGAAATGCCATAAATAGCTAGGTCTGATGGCTCAGAATACAAATAATATTGATTTATTTGTGCAACGCTTCGTGGAGCCTCTTCGACAGAGCACCACAAGTTGGAAGGGGTAGGAGAGGGACATCGGTGGACGCTGAACTGCGCGGGCAAATGATACTTCCCGGTTGCCCAGGCCGAGGAACGAGGTTTGGTTGATGTACCCCGCCTTGAGCCTTTGACTCAAAAGTCTGACCCACAAGGCAGTGGGAAGACGTAGGGTTTTGTTCGGGGACCCTGACCCTAGCCTCTGACTCAAAAGTCTGACCCACGAGGCAGTAGGAAAATGTAGAGTTTTCTTTGGGGACCCTGTCCGGAGCCGACCACTCAATAGTCTGACCTGCTCGGCTGCAGGGGGTTGGCCTAACCCGAGGGCGCAGGGAATAAGGCATTACTGTCTCATTCCTGATGCGGCTGCGCACAGCAGGTGCCTGTTGAGCAGCACCGGGCACTTTGGTTTTAAAAGTATTTCGACCGTATTGGATAATGCGCCGGCGGTCACGGTCAACCGTTAGGCGATCGGATTGTGCGGGTTTTGGGGCCGACTTTTTCTAACCCGTTCTTCCTCGGGGAAAGGCAGCATCGCTGCTTCCATAAATATGGACATGCTGGTCGCCTGGGGGAAACACCTTCACGCCTTCACACTCCTGTCGCAGAGGACAGTACGACTTTACCCCCAGACCGCCCGGTACCACGATTGCTCGTAGTGCGGGGTCTCGCTTTTCTTGGTCTGGCTGCTCCCCTTTGGCCTTCCTGGCATGATTGTACCTTGTGGAACGAAGTTCCAGCCAGTGTAGCCCGCGGGATCATTGCAGCACTCAAGCTCGACCACCACGTTAACGTGGTAGCTTCAGGTCGAGGTACTACCAGTGGACTGCGACACAATAAGGCAAAAACTGGAGTTGGCTGAAGTTTCTGAAAATAACTCTTCATATCACAATAGAAGTCGCTGCTGACTAGACTAGACGCACCAAGTTATTAAGACCAGTTGAATTGCCTTTATATGGTTAAGGCGCACACTTGTATTCACACATCACAGCTTGCAACATCATCAACAACAACAGGTATCTGCCATCTGAAAAATCTGTAGAATATCTGAGCACGAGAGAGCAAGGAAGAAACGCTTGGGGGTTGTTGAACGTCCCACTTTACCTGTATGACGTTGATGATTCCACGAACGTTCGAGGAAATGGGTTTGAGGAGCTTATACATTCATCCTTATACTAACCGATCGCACTGAAAACACAAAAGGGTTCCAAGAAGTAGAAACTGGAGACCATTGCAGTATTGTTAGAATTTTGCATGGTGTTTCTTTATGGCCGACGATGCCATAATACTATTAGAATCCCGAAAAATTGAGAGAACAGTATTTCCGTGTAAGTAAAATTTAAGACGTTTTGGTACTTTCCGCAAGCGCCGCAATATATAGGTGGAGTTTCACAAGGAGCTCTCCCTAGACCCTTTTATTTCCAGCAACCAACATGAGGCAACAAGTCAGATCATTATGCCTGCTGCAGATTTGAAGCAGCCCTGGAGTGTGGGAAGTGGTGAAATGATGACGGAACAAAAGTTGTTCAATTCCGCCTGGTTATACTAGCGCGGATGTATAACTTTCTGTTGAAAATACTGTATGTATAAATATATATCAACGTCGCTCACGAGTCTATGGTGCCGTTAAAGTGATTATGTGCATTCTCCATTGGTAAATTTGTGGAAATTTAAAGCACTCGTAAGAACGATTCATGTGTTACAACCTTTGGCCCTTAAGTGAATTAAGTACAGACTGTTCCCCCGCCCAGTAAACACTCCAGAGATGGTTGTGGTCGGTCAGAGTTAGCAACCCGAAATATTTTTAGCGCACCTTCTTGGGCTTTTATCTGCAGCAACAGTAAAAGCACGATACAGTGCTAAATATGGATGTTACATGAAAACAATTGATTCACACTGTGCACTGGTACCAAAATAAAATTGGTGATGCATTCTAACCATAGAAATACTGGCAAAAATTTTGAATGTCACATGACATTTAGTTTGAGAGAACAGTTGTCGTTTTCACAATCTCAACTTTGCCATATTGTTACAGAATTTCACACACATAGGACCACTCACCCGAAACAAGAATTCCGCATGGGCATACAGTCCATTAGAAGGTGCTATCATCAACGTGAACTTTTGCATATCCAATCCATCGTAGTCTACGACCTTAATTTGCTCATTATTGTCAAGGTTACGAATGAGATCGAACAGATCTCGACCGAAAGTCCTTCATTTGGATGTTTCTTTATTATTTTTGGTGCCTCACCTTCTGTAACTCATAACCTCAATCTTCGAAAATGATAACGAAAATGCATCACGAAACTGGATTCCCGCATTTAGCACCTTCAAGGTCACGGACTCATCGATCCACTGAGTAATACACAGGATATGCTTTTGCGAAAGCCCTCCAAGTATGGGTTTGTTTCTTTCGTTCAGCGGCTCACGTTCACCTGAAACGATGCAGCGCTGCACTTGAAGTTCTCAGAGTGATAAGCTTGTCAGCGGGAGGACTTGTATCAAAAAGCGTCGGAAATTGCTCTGGGTAAGGTAACAGACAGTGCGTGAACAACCGTTCGGGGGGGGGGGAGGTTGTTCCACGTGCCAGTGAGCTGAAAAGAGAAGAATAGTTCCCAAATAAAGTTGTGTGCTGTGCACGTCCTGGCAGTATATTCGCTGGGTTAACGTTGAAAATTCTGTCAGTCAAACCTTAACGAGGAATGCATGAGCAGGTATTAGATCCCCTCACCAAAGACCAATGCCTAGGATTGGGCACCCGAAGCAGCCAGAGAGAATACTGGAGTACAACGAAAGCTTTTTAGTGAGGAACCACTAAATGTATCCGGCACTGGCCTACACATTCTAGTGTGGAAGAGAAAATGCCAGACAAATCCCACAAGTGGGCACATGAATTTTTAAAAAGTGTATTTAAGTTTGGAGAAACATGGTGATGGAAATCACAGCTGGCTTCTAGACCAGAGTCTCGTGAGTAGGTAATCATGCAGTCTAGATGAATCTGAACATGGTCAAGGACAGGGACTTATGACAAAGGGAATTTCTAAACGACTATATGTGGCCACAAATGGGGAGTTCGTCCGAGAACAAGGTACAGAAGGCGTAGCAGACAGATAGCAGGAACATAATTAGGCACAACAAGCTTCATTCAAGTAGCCCGTCAGTGATTATCTTTGCGGAAAACAGGATCATACCAGTTTACGTTGTAAGCTCAATACAACGATGGTATGAGTTGCCTCAAGTGGACAGTAATATATTGGCACCAACTGAGGTAGCAATTCGCAGACAAGGGACAAAGAAAAAGGCCTTTTGAGCTTTATAATAGATTCATATCGCTGGGCATTCGTGGTATTCGCGTGCACGCTAACTTCTTTTACAGATTTTTGCGGAATTCTTCAGTGCCCCCAATTATGCAAAGCGATTAGGCATTTATCTCACGACCGGGATTTATATGATCCCGAATGCAGTTCGGTTCCACTAAAGCGGAAAATTCCAGAGTAGTGGAACTGAGAAATATGATTTTCGACGAGAATTGCAACGATTTTGACGCCGCTCCCCAAGTCAGTGCACAAAGTTGGCTACAATATGGAATGATAGAGCTATTATGAGCTTGGAGTAAGGAAGAAAATATGTTGGTGGCTATAAAACCGTACCGGTGGGTGGGTTTTGCACTGTTGCGGCCACATTGCGCTCAGTTGATGTGAAAATTCATTCCTCAACCTATCTCTGTTGATGGTGTATCCTCTCGATTTTAGGCTCATATAAACCACTTTTTTTATCATCAATCTCATAATACCTAATCCTTTGATAAATCTCCATCTCAACGATTCGACTTTTGGAGTTGGGTGCATGACTCAAGGGGGCCCAAATGAGTTCTGCAAACAATCAACAAAGGCCCTGTTTGTTCGAATTATTCCCACAAAGCCTAAGCAGTGCAGGAATGCGAGCGTCAAATATTGAAGAAAGTGAGGAGGGGGGGATCAGTGCAATGGTTGGGCCAGAGCTGACTGCATTAAAACAACCTCTTCCTGAAAATTATGGACCAACCTCACACATAATCAGGAGACCTTGTTGGAGCATGTTGGGTTGAATGAACGCAAAACCTGATAATATTCCGGGTTGAATAGGGCAATTAGGAGAGCAGCGTGGGGAATCGGATACCTTCGGGAAGTTGGGCACGCCCGCCACATTAAGAGTGATAAGTGCCTGTGTAGACGAGATGTTGCGACGCCCGCCATTGGTAGATGCAGAGGTGTCCTGAAAGGATGTAACTAATTATTATTACTCGTGTGGGTCCGTTCGGCAAGGTCTATACGGTTTCCGAAATCTATTCTTTAACGTGCATGGTACATAGTTCCAGTTTGGGGTGCGTGGTACAACTTCCGCGTTTTCAGTTTGTTCTGTCTGCCAGGGCGCGGGCACTGGCTCCATTAACTACATTTTTATTGCTTGAGTAATGAAAATCGGAAATCCTGCGGTTTCCATTGCAACCAGGGCACTGATCAATGCAATACCCTTTTAAAACTATGATGCTTGAGGCAGTATATGTTACCCTTACGCGCCGATCAGCCTTGTCGGAATACCTAATCACAGAGGCCCGATATTTTGTTCGGACTCGGGTGAGAGCGAAAATTGTAGGAAAATTAAGCTATCCAAAAATTTTCTCATCATTCACTGGAAGGTTATGCTGAATATATAGTAAAGATTCTAATGTGAAGAAATTGCGAAATGACGTACAAATCGTCAAAATCAATTAAAATGACAATGTTTGTCTATTTGATTGTTTTCAAATGCATTCAAATGCATGCGCATTTGCCATCTTTTTCGTAACAACCAATGAAGCTAGATGTTTATCTCTCCGATACCTACCGTAATAACATAAGTTAATTTGGAATATATTCTTAGAATCATTTAAACCAATCCAGAAATTAACTTCTTTAAGGCACTGTTGGTTGCAAGATTTTGCAGAATATATAATGGCGCTTATTTGAACAGCCGCCATCCAACACAGCAATTCTGTTAAGTTCATTCAAAAGAAGGGAGAACATTGGACTTAAATTTCGTCTTTATTAGAACCCATCAGCAGTGAGTGTCTAGTGGCCGTACCTAAGTTTGAACCCCGCGCATCTGACGTATCAGGCGAGCGTGTTACCAAAACTCGAGGAGCGCTCCCTGAACAAATCCGAGTTTTGCGCCTGAAATGGTGGACATGTTCGCACTTGAGTGATGTGAGAAAAACACCAGAGGCTTCGAACGACGAACAAATAACATAACTTTCTTTAGTCTATCCACTGGCGCGCTAGTGAGGAATTCCTAGTCAGGGAAGATCGCAGACGCCTAAAACGTGCTTGACACATTTGGTTTCATGTGTCGGAGGTTGCGTGAGTTTGCAGAATACACACTTTCGTTTGAAAAACTTCCATCTCTCCTGTTACAATCATTCGGGTGAGTTCATACAAGAAGAATGTAATGGTGCCAAGTTACGCCCTTCTTATGGCACATAAGCAGTGTATATCCCGGTGCGTGCACTGTTGACGAGTTCTAAAGAGAGCAAGGCCAAAGTCCAGTGCTTTTCTTCTCTTGTATGGACTCACCAGAATGATCGCACCGGAGAACATTGACGATCGTGAAACAAGAGCTATGTGAGTATGTATTCTGCAAAGTCCTGCAAATACTACTACCACAAACAAGTGAATATCTTGATTGCCAGTTTCTTTTAGACCTATGAAGTTTAGCTATTTGGAGGAAATGAAAGGCGCCTTTTGTTTCAAACATACGACCCCGATGCAAGTGAGAGAAAATAGGTCAAGAAAATACGCTGCGATACCTTGTTTTGCTGAATAGTGCATGAAAAGGCTCTTGTGAAGCAGATTCATGTGAAGAATGTCATGAAAGAGTTTCCATGTTTGAATTTCATTACGGGGGAAACATTTATTCTTGCGCATGGTCCATGAACTCATTTTTGTCTCTTTGCTAGCATTTTACAGGACGTGGTTTTAACGTTTCACCTTTACAGTACTGCGGGTTTACTACTGTTTATGGACTCCACGCTCACGCAACTTGTATCTGTGACTCGGTATCAATGCCGATAACTGCCGAACACCCAAAAGGTCATAAATAGGACGGACCTTTGGCTTGCGTGCTTCTCGCTGAAGCGATGTTTCTTAAAAACTTTTTAGTCGTCAGCCACTGATCAGTGAGGAATGAAAAAATAATTTCCTTGGCCTCTTTCAGTAGAAAAAACCGCACGGTGATCAATTTAACTACCTTTCATTAGCTTCTTTATGCTCAGTGCCGCACCCATATGTCGAGACAACAAGCGTATAGAAGTAAAAATGGAGAGTAAGTTTCATAACAATTCGAAAACTAAATAAAAGGAAAGGATCACAATATCTTTGGTGTTTTTTCCGCTCGAGTATATACACTGCCATTCCGTTCATGAACTTTTAGGCCTTCAGTCTGACGAACATTAGTCTCATAAGAGAGTTGCGTGATCTATAGAGGAAAATGTTGGTAGCTCAGGTATCGTAGATGGTGGTCGTTGGCTTGTTGTCAACACGACGCTCAAGAAACTGCAAGAAACACACGAGATAACCAGACAGGAACGATGGAAAATGAAAGCTGATGATACCAACATTGCACAATTCTACGGACTACCAAAGGTGCACAAAGAAGGAACTCCGCTTAGACCAATCGTTTCACTTCCGGGAACCCCGACTTACAAATTAGCAAAAGACTTATGGAGAAGATTAAAACACTTAATCTCCGGATCGGAACACACAGTCAATAATGCAGGTCAGTTCCTACACAAACTACGGAACGTCAGTATAGAAGACGATGAAGTCATGCTTTCATTTGATGTCACATCGCTGTTCACTTCAATCAACCACAACCTCGCCAGGACAACCATAGCAGAACTGCTTCAGACTAAGCCCAACACGACAGGAACCATGAAACCTGAAAGTATAGGCAAACTGCTGGACTTTTGCATGGATACATACTTTACCTTCGATGGACAAATATATCAACAGCTGAAAGGAACTCCAATGGGATCTCCAATATCAGGATTTATTGCTGAGGCGGTAATGCAAAGGTTAGAGCATGCGGTACTGCCGATCATCAATCCAAAACTTTGGATCCGCTACGTGGACGACACCTTTGTCATCGTGAAACGGGATTCAGTGCACGAGGCACATGAACTGCTCAACACCACTTTTGAAGATATCAAGTTTACAATCGAACTGGAAAGAAACAATCGACTACCATTCTTAGACGTTCTAGTGAACAGAAAGATGGATGGGACTCTGGAAACCTGTGTATACCGGAAGGAGACTCATACAGATCAAATCCTGAACTACAACAGCAATCACCCAGTAAACCACAAGAAGAGCTGCGTCCAAACCTTGTTCAAGAGGGCGGAGACACACTGCAGCACCACAGAACTGCGGAAGAAGGAAGAAAACCATCTACTCAGGGTATTCCAGAACAATGGATATCCAAGGAATTTTATCAAGAGAAGCTTGAAGAAGAAAACACCCCAACCACGGCAACAGCAAGAACAAGCCACCAGACGGGTAGTCCTGCCTTACATCAGGAATATATCAGAACTCGCGACCAGATTATTGGCTCAAAAAGGAATATTTGTGGCCCACAAACCGAATGCCACCCTGAGGAAATTAATCTCTAGACCGAAGGACAACCCGGACAAAACCAAGAAGAACAGTGTGATATACCAACTCAACTGCGACAACTGCATCAAATTCTACGTCGGACAAACTGGGAGGAGACTATGCACGCGAATAAAGGAACACAACGCGGCCGTCAGGAGGCATGACCCCCTGTCCTTGATATCCATACACGAGGACCAAGAAGGCCACAAATTCAACTTGGAAAACGCAGAAATTTTGGTATACGGACGCACGAGGCACGGAAGAGAATTTCTGGAAGCATGGTACTCGACGGCAAATTCGATCAACCGGTGCATCGAACTGGACCCAATTTACGCACCCCTACGTGCAAAAGACCAACAACTCAACCGGAAAACTCAAGGAAGACCGAATATTGGATTCACAAACAACGAAACAAGGAACTCCTTGGAGGCAAATCAATAATGGTCACAACCCAGGACTGGAAGGGACAAAGGTCAATCTAGCTTCGACCAGATTACGACGGAGGGGATGCCAAGCTCAAAGGTCACGTGGGCATCGGCGAATGGGGATACAGGACAACGGAGCAACCAATGGAATCACCCGACCGAACAACTAATCGCGACCAAAGGTCATCCCCTGCTAGCAGCACGTATATTAACACACGCACAACACTACCCAACGCACAACCACCAACCCACCGCTACGCGCTACTACGCTCCACAATAACGCACTGATGATGTCACCTCGATTGGTGATGAAACGTTTGCAATCAAATTAGCTCAGTCAGCGAACAAGCCAACGACCACCAGAGTTGCGTGACTTATCCTTGAATAACCTTCACACGTGTACCACTTACAGACGAACCAACGATTCACATTCTACTGCGTAGGACTTGCAATCTTCTTTGCAGCGTCATCTAAAGTTGCGTTTCTCGTCCACTAGAGAGCGAAATGCTCCTCATACAGACACTTCAACAACCCTACTTTTCCAGTCACGTGTCAAGCGCTCATAGATGATTTTATTGCTCATGTTTGGACTCCCTTACCTCAGACCGAAAGATGTCCTTCGTGGAAGCGGACTAATTTCGTGAAGCTAACCACTTAGGCACGGATCGAAGAATCCACTAGCTGCTTAGTCGGTGGACCACAAACCTTACTGAGACCGGTTGTCACCAATGAAAGAAATTTTGCTGAAAATGTGAAAACTAAGGTTCCCATTAGACACAGTGATCACCATATGGTGACACTTGACTGCCAATGTGACTGGGTCAGCAACAACGAAACTTAAGCATAGATTTACTACTTCTATCCCGCAGTCTTCCCATGAGTTTAATCTGATACCAACTTTCGTAAATGATGCGCACAAAGATATTGTCTAAAAATTCAACAATCCAGTGCAGTGTTTGCTCTAAAGAAAACAGATGAATCAAACAGGAACTGCCTAGAATGAGTTTGCATCGTCTCAGAGTGAAGTTTCAACTATATTTATTTAACTACGGGAGATTCAGAAGATGACCTGTTGTGACAGAAGAAATAACAGCGTTTGACCAACTTGACCGGTAAGTTAGAGGATGTTCACGAAATTCTGCATAAGACAGGTTCCTTCGGCCCGTTGGGGCTGAGTGAGGCACACCGCTCTTTCCGACCCACGCTAATAACTTCCCAGGCGCGTTTCCAAGTCCCGTTTATCGTTTGAGCAGCTTTGGTTTCGAACACCAGCCCTGTTCGCCATGACGCTATGAATACTGGATAGGCATTCCCTCTGGATTGTGAAATTAGTGGCCCATTGCCTCCTGGGGAGACTCAGCATGTTGAGAACCCAGCTGGTCTTACAAAACCAGAAGCGAAAAAGAATCTGGTCATCTGCGTCTCTTCAAGTATATTTTTCTCCAGTCATCACGAAACATCGGCAAAAATGCATTCGTCACCACTCGAATGATCTGATGAACCCTACTTCGCATTATGGGCAAGGACTTTCAGAAACAATATGGAAACTTCGTAGGCCACACTTTATTACGCCAACCAAGATTTCTACTCAGGACGCAAGGACGTAGGCTTCATTGGACGCGTCAAATGGGCTGCCACAACGTCGGTTGGCCCTAACACCCATGAACTGCGAAAAGCCTCTAAGTTCCCTTGTCTCTCTCTCTCTCTCTGTGTGTGTCTGTTGTCACACCAGGTGGCACCCCTGATTTGGGCGGAATAAACATCTTCCGGTAGTTGTTAACGCTGCCCAAAGTCACAATGGAAGTCATATGTGAGTGATTTTTATTATCCCCTGCGCCGACAAGCGTACTTGTCAGCGCTAACGCCTTAATAGGCTGTGTCACAGCACCTTTGCGCTAGTGCTTTTCATTTGAATGGAAGCGATCAAATATCGCGATCCTGTGTATTAGCCAGCGAAATCCGCACCAGTACCAACGATTCCACATTACTAGTGGGCCCCGTTTACCACAACCCAAGGTGAATGGTCAGGGGTTTACTGCTTTGGTGGTTGAGTTGGAAGGTCATAAAACCCTCAACCGTCTGCCTGACCCTGCTTCCGCCCTCAAGGTCACCAATGAAAGCCAAAATCCAATTAGAGCTTTGAGTTTTCTGCGGTTAACCTTCCACAACAATAGATTCCATTCCTGGGACGCCGACCTTCGGAAATGTCGTCCACATGTCCAGTTAGTCCTTCGGACACTTGTGGAGATAACTGTTGGATGAGTCAAGTATGCGCCCTCACAACGTAGAAAATATTTCTTCACTAGCACATTAGATTTCGCTGCCAGACCACAGAAAATGAACCTGATGTCGTGTTCTTGGGCGACTCGATATTACTTCATATGCAATTCTCCCAGGTAAGTGAGGTCGCATAATTCACAACGTACAGGTCTATAAAACCTACATCGTACCATTACACTGCGTCAACTTCAGCGTCTACCATGATGAAACACAACATGTACTTTGGCGGATAGAGAACGGCGAATTGGATGGGTTTTCTCCTAAAGTAAGTCCCTTTGTTGTATATATATAACCTCAAAGGTTATCGTTATCATGGTAGGTACGCACAATGTTTCTCACACTCCGGAAGAGGTCGTACGGGGTATTCTTGCTGTCGTTGAGAAGGCGAGGGAAAAGCAACCTCAAGCGGCCATGATCGTGATGGTATGTCAGCGGTTATTGAAATATGGTTCATACAATCACTCAGATTTTGACGCATAGAGTTGGAGTCAGGATAGCTTGAGTGTTTGTTCCAAACATCCACCTTGTAACTCCTGCATATTCATATTGATCACTGTGTAGGCTTGAGCACCTTGGCTGTTTCCAAGCTCTCATGCTTCTTTCTAGTGGCATGGCAGCTAGGCTACGGCTGAACGATTTTTTTTCATATCGATCAGCTCCGAGGTTAACAGAGTCCTCAGTTGGTGGTTGTCAGGAGTCACGTTCATGCCGTTAATTTTCATTTTGCGTCATTGTGAGTGGTTTGAATGCACCGTACCGCCCCAACATGCGTATGAGTCTCTAGAAGGGAGCCTGCTTAAACAGTACGTGTCCCTTTCAAAACGCTTCCATAAGGAGGGTTTGGCTCTCTGTGCTCACCTTAGGGAAGCAAATAGCCCTGGGCGTCGATTGTGTATAGGGAAACCAATACCAAAAAGATGAGTGATGAAGAAGCACACACTATGTCGTATCCTGAAACACAACATGAAGAAATGGTGCCACGTCTGAATAAATACCAGGATGAAGGAGGAACGTGCGACGTGAACACTGATTGCCACCATATTATCAGCCGACCGCTACAAGTTGCCGTTCGCTTACAGCAAAATCACGGTGAATCCACTAAATCTGACAGCACATGTTCAGACTTCTGTATAAGGGTCTCGAGATTCGATTGCTACAGAGTTCACTTATAGTGGTAATCCACAGTCTTGTTGACTGGAACCGACGAGTCGCCACAGCATGGAAAAATAATTTTAAAAAATAGCAAAGCGATATTGGCCAGTGACAGCTTAGGTGAAGGAGATCGCTCTGTCCCAATGCCCGACCAGAACTAGCGAAACCGGAATCTACCCAGTTCTGCGTTCATGGGGCCAGTGACATTTTGTGGTGCCAAAATGCCGACTCAATTCGGAGAGGCTCGACAAGTTTGGTGTATCGCCTCTGCCGACAATGGTGAAAGAGAACAACAGTCGATTGCCTTATGGGACAGGGCTTGTGGACCGCTCATTTTTTGACCCACAAAGCATCCCAAACGCACTTTCTGCCTCAACAAACACTGTCACTGATCACCAAGTAGCGATTTGTTGATTCCAGTCAGTCCCAAATGTAGTTTATCAGTGGTCAATGGAATCAAGATTCCTCAGATTCTCCACACAAAGTGGTCAGGTCTCGAATCCGTACAGCAATGCATCTCAGACAGTAATCTAACACGTTATCCTTGGGATCCATTGATGCCATAGGCGGCATAAGTTAGTTTCCAGTACCGCGCGTTGATCTCGTTTTGTACACTACTTCCGAAACTAATTCAACTTCCGAGATACGCAGCGCTCCACTCAGGCGATCCGGTAGGGTATAAGTCCTGCGGTACCACTTCGGTTCTTGGTGCTGCGAGTCACATGCTGAAGGAGCGAAAAGCACTGGGCATATATTGTGCTTCAATCCTCCCTTTCAAAGGTGGGAGCAATATCTTCTGCATATTCCAAGCCGACAGGGTGTGTATGGCGTCGCCCCAACACTTGATGAGCTGTGAAAATGTGGTCCACACAAACTCCTTCCCGGAATCCCGCTTACTGTACCTAGGTAATGCCTTCAAGTGCCCTCCTAAGGTGATTTAAGGTGGGCAGTTCGAAGAGTCCAGTTACGACAGGGGCTAGGTTGATTCCTTTGTGTGCATACTTTCTGAGATTGCACTACTATCAACTTACTCGATTGACTGTGGTGGTCAAATACGTTGGACAAGCACTGTCTTAGAATCTCATCTTCATCAAGCAACGGACAGAAGATCGTCTGGACTAGCAGCTAGGTGGCTCATATAGAATAAAGAACATTAGCGTGCTTCCGCAGCTGTCGGCATTGTCAACTCTATCCAGGGCTCCGTTACGGGTCAGGAGTTCGGTTGAGATATTGCCGGTGGCCGGTTGAATTGATGAAAGCGCTCCGTAGGTTGAAGCGTTCTGTTTTACAGACCAGCGGGCCATTTTAGTAGCTGACCTTTTCGCTCACATGCCGCTAGGACTTGTGCACATATTAGTCGGAATATTTTTCGCACATTCCTGTTTCTTCCTCAGCTATCCAAACCATTCAGGCCTTTTGATAATACACTTTTTGGACTAAACACCGCTCCATCTCTTGGTGGTGACTTCAGTGTCTGAACATGCCCTTGCATAATCAGCATCTAGGAAAGCACAGTGTTGATACTGATACTTCACCTCCGTACAACCACTTCTCCTAAAGTAAGTCCCTTTGTTGTATATATATAACCTCAAAGGTTATCGTTATCATGGTAGGTACGCACAATGTTTCTCACACTCCGGAAGAGGTCGTACGGGGTATTCTTGCTGTCGTTGAGAAGGCGAGGGAAAAGCAACCTCAAGCGGCCATGATCGTGATGGTATGTCAGCGGTTATTGAAATATGGTTCATACAATCACTCAGATTTTGACGCATAGAGTTGGAGTCAGGATAGCTTGAGTGTTTGTTCCAAACATCCACCTTGTAACTCCTGCATATTCATATTGATCACTGTGTAGGCTTGAGCACCTTGGCTGTTTCCAAGCTCTCATGCTTCTTTCTAGTGGCATGGCAGCTAGGCTACGGCTGAACGATTTTTTTTCATATCGATCAGCTCCGAGGTTAACAGAGTCCTCAGTTGGTGGTTGTCAGGAGTCACGTTCATGCCGTTAATTTTCATTTTGCGTCATTGTGAGTGGTTTGAATGCACCGTACCGCCCCAACATGCGTATGAGTCTCTAGAAGGGAGCCTGCTTAAACAGTACGTGTCCCTTTCAAAACGCTTCCATAAGGAGGGTTTGGCTCTCTGTGCTCACCTTAGGGAAGCAAATAGCCCTGGGCGTCGATTGTGTATAGGGAAACCAATACCAAAAAGATGAGTGATGAAGAAGCACACACTATGTCGTATCCTGAAACACAACATGAAGAAATGGTGCCACGTCTGAATAAATACCAGGATGAAGGAGGAACGTGCGACGTGAACACTGATTGCCACCATATTATCAGCCGACCGCTACAAGTTGCCGTTCGCTTACAGCAAAATCACGGTGAATCCACTAAATCTGACAGCACATGTTCAGACTTCTGTATAAGGGTCTCGAGATTCGATTGCTACAGAGTTCACTTATAGTGGTAATCCACAGTCTTGTTGACTGGAACCGACGAGTCGCCACAGCATGGAAAAATAATTTTAAAAAATAGCAAAGCGATATTGGCCAGTGACAGCTTAGGTGAAGGAGATCGCTCTGTCCCAATGCCCGACCAGAACTAGCGAAACCGGAATCTACCCAGTTCTGCGTTCATGGGGCCAGTGACATTTTGTGGTGCCAAAATGCCGACTCAATTCGGAGAGGCTCGACAAGTTTGGTGTATCGCCTCTGCCGACAATGGTGAAAGAGAACAACAGTCGATTGCCTTATGGGACAGGGCTTGTGGACCGCTCATTTTTTGACCCACAAAGCATCCCAAACGCACTTTCTGCCTCAACAAACACTGTCACTGATCACCAAGTAGCGATTTGTTGATTCCAGTCAGTCCCAAATGTAGTTTATCAGTGGTCAATGGAATCAAGATTCCTCAGATTCTCCACACAAAGTGGTCAGGTCTCGAATCCGTACAGCAATGCATCTCAGACAGTAATCTAACACGTTATCCTTGGGATCCATTGATGCCATAGGCGGCATAAGTTAGTTTCCAGTACCGCGCGTTGATCTCGTTTTGTACACTACTTCCGAAACTAATTCAACTTCCGAGATACGCAGCGCTCCACTCAGGCGATCCGGTAGGGTATAAGTCCTGCGGTACCACTTCGGTTCTTGGTGCTGCGAGTCACATGCTGAAGGAGCGAAAAGCACTGGGCATATATTGTGCTTCAATCCTCCCTTTCAAAGGTGGGAGCAATATCTTCTGCATATTCCAAGCCGACAGGGTGTGTATGGCGTCGCCCCAACACTTGATGAGCTGTGAAAATGTGGTCCACACAAACTCCTTCCCGGAATCCCGCTTACTGTACCTAGGTAATGCCTTCAAGTGCCCTCCTAAGGTGATTTAAGGTGGGCAGTTCGAAGAGTCCAGTTACGACAGGGGCTAGGTTGATTCCTTTGTGTGCATACTTTCTGAGATTGCACTACTATCAACTTACTCGATTGACTGTGGTGGTCAAATACGTTGGACAAGCACTGTCTTAGAATCTCATCTTCATCAAGCAACGGACAGAAGATCGTCTGGACTAGCAGCTAGGTGGCTCATATAGAATAAAGAACATTAGCGTGCTTCCGCAGCTGTCGGCATTGTCAACTCTATCCAGGGCTCCGTTACGGGTCAGGAGTTCGGTTGAGATATTGCCGGTGGCCGGTTGAATTGATGAAAGCGCTCCGTAGGTTGAAGCGTTCTGTTTTACAGACCAGCGGGCCATTTTAGTAGCTGACCTTTTCGCTCACATGCCGCTAGGACTTGTGCACATATTAGTCGGAATATTTTTCGCACATTCCTGTTTCTTCCTCAGCTATCCAAACCATTCAGGCCTTTTGATAATACACTTTTTGGACTAAACACCGCTCCATCTCTTGGTGGTGACTTCAGTGTCTGAACATGCCCTTGCATAATCAGCATCTAGGAAAGCACAGTGTTGATACTGATACTTCACCTCCGTACAACCACAGTTTATCTAAATATATTTAAAGCCTTAGAGCGGAAAGAAGATAAAAGAGTGGGCAGTGAAGCATCAGTGTCAACACTGATGTTGCTGTCTTCAGTGATGATGATGATGAAGGAGGGGACCTGGTGCTGGCTTCTCGCAAGCATTCTGAATTACCTTCACCTTCAATCGTTCAGTCAAGGAATCTGTTAAAAAAATAACAGCACGAACGCCACTGACATCGACCAGCCACCCCTTCTTACAATGTCTCCAGCCAAGCGCAGGTGGAGTCACGGGAACCCTATCCTGGATAGCGTACTACAAGAACAACATCCAAACTCTTCACACTCTTCTGCGAAGTAATAAGTTGCCCACCTTGTCGTGTGCACCATCGTGAAATAGGCACGGAGAACAACACTTGTCTCGGTAGACGTTGTTTTGGTATCTGTAGCACACTCTCGACCTACCGTAGTGAATGGTGCCGCGTATCTTCCGCAAATGAAGTACCTGCGTTACAGCCATATACCCGTCTTCCACTTACCCCTTTACGAATGCGTTGACGCCATCCGATACAAACAATGCTTCTGAGGCATCGGAGTTCAAGTACGCGGAGTGAGATGTTTCAGTGGTGAGCGTAAATTTACTGACCGGAAGGTTCGTGGTTCGAACCCGACCTCTGGTTCTCGACTTCCCTTGTCTAGGCTTGGGCAACCTGGCAGTAGCCCAGCCCTCGTGTTTACTTCTGGTGGAATGTTTCACATGTTTCACAAATACACAGCAACACAACCCATACTGTAGCCTGGCACACGCTCCCCTCAACACCCAGTGGTATGCCTTTTTGACGCCAAACGTGACGCAACTTGGCAAACTTAATTCGGTCCTCTGAGATTCTTGCACTGATTTCACCAGCCACCTTTCCGTCAGAGCTCATACGATCACTGGGGCATGTAAAATTCTCCACAACCTCCAGTAATTCTCCTTAAGTTGTAAAGGGTATGTTCAGAGACCGTACGTTCTGCAGCATAGCTCTGCACTTCTGAGGTGCTAGGCGCATGCATGATTGTATGACGGTGATCATTCTATCCAACAACGCTAGATAAATAAAAAAGATAATCGCTCAGCTGTAACACCCTTTCGATGCCTAACTGCCATGCCACTCGAACGAAGCACGAGGGCTGAGGTACTGCCAGGTTGCCCAAGCCTAGACATCATCATCATCAACGACAGCATGACATCAGTGTTCAACATCGATGCTTCACTGCCGTACAGACATGACTTATTTGAAAGCCTTATTGTAAAGAAAAGAATAAAGGTGGATGGGGGAGGGACTTAGTGCTAGCTTAACACAATCATTCCGAGGTGCCTACAC